TTTCAACAAATTTATAATACTACGAATTTATACTTCTAGCACTCCAAAATGATTTGTAGATAACAAAATTAAGAAAAAAAAAATGGAACCGAGAATCAAAAATGTCATCAATTAGTGAAAATAGGAAAACATTCCCAATGAAAAAATGGGAATTAGAAATAAAATAAGTTTAGCGAAAATGTGAAAACTAAAATATTAAAAGCACTAATATTTTTGGGCGCCGTAAAAAGTGAAAAACTTTCAAAAGCAAAGAAAAAGTGAGTAAAAAACGTTTGGCAAGCCGAAAGTTACGAATAACCAAAAACGAAATGACACGCAAAAGAATTGCAAATAATTAGAAATGTAATAATACGTACTTCAAGTAAATAAAAAATATATTTAAAGCAAAGCAAAGTAAAATAAGAAAAAATCAGACCACTTAAACAAAAGCGCACCAATTAGCCGCACGCTGAGCAAAAAATAGCAAAGAAAGTAATTGAAAGCAAATAAAACGCAAAAGATTACGCCGGAACTGTGAATGTATCCGATAAAAATCCGTAGCATAAATGAACTAAACGCCAAAACATTAACCAAATACTAAAATTGAGTGCTGCTTTCAGGCGCCGACGGCGCTGGCGTATACGTAACCACGAGCACTTAGCAGCAGGCCACCAGCCATGCGGAGCAGGTAGCAGGTCACCAACAAAATGCCAGTAAGAGCCGTAGGAAGTAAAAGCAGCCAGCCAACTAAATATTAAAAAATTCATCAATTAATATTCAACGCAAAACTTGACTGACTGCGTGCGACAATTGTTGTTGCTGTTGTTGTGCGTTCTTTGTTAATCTGCTCAAACAGCGTTTTGCCTCGACACGCACCCTTCACGTACTTAGTACTAACATAGCGCGCGCACACGCAACGACTTTTGATAGAAAATCTGAAATTACACTGCGTTTAAGTTTTATAAAAGTGTATGTTTTTTTTTTTGTTTTTATTTAAATTTTTGCTTGTTTATACTTGTTGTAACTAGCGGCAGACGCACGCAACACTACGACCTGCTGTGATAGGGGCTGCATAGATGAGGCACAGTGAAAATGATGGTGGAAATAAGAGGTCCCGCAGCACACACCTAGGAAGAGAAATAAGTAATGGTTAGAAGGAGATATATAGAGAAAATTAAGAAAGTCGTCGAATACAAATGAAGTGCAAATGCTTGCAAACGAATCATTTCAGACTAATCAAGCAGAGTCAGTCTAGCTGAAGCTAACTCAAAGTCCATACAACTGGGCTCAATATCTGTATGTAGTGTAGAGCGCAGAGTTAGTTAGTACCTGCACCGCATGAACTATTTAAACAAACCAATCAGTTATCCTGCCATTAAAGTATAAATAAAAAACGTGAGGAATTCGCAACGACACCAAATCCAGAGAAGCAGCGAAAAGAAGTTAAAAACACAACTGCTATTCTCACCAACTATAGATTAGCTAATCTTTCTTACACAAAAAAAAAAAAAAAAATTGGATGCCCCGAATTGAATTCTAGCGAAAATTGTGGTATACGATTTACAGAGGCTCCAAGTGTGCTATGTCCTAATGCTAAAAATAAATCTACTGAATGTAATCTCATCAGTGGCTAGAACGCTAGGAAATGCCAGCGCAGCATCAGCAAGAAAAAAAAATACTAATAGAAAGCTTCAACACAAAAGCAACCTAAAAAAAAAAGTCTCAAATAACGTCATAAACTACTAAAGTCCATATATGCTCAACTGACGCTTTGGAACAAAAGACGGCAGCAACACACGTAAAGCGGACAAAATATTAATAATAAAAGTTGTATAAACGAATCAAGCAGGCAACCCCAATCAAGCAACCAACCAACCAACGCGCACGCCTACGCCACCAGCAATAACCAATAAACAATAACAAAAGCCAATCGCAATATTCATCCAGCTATTCACTTCGCACAGCTATGTACGTGTATGTATGTATGTATGTATGCAAAATGCTGTGAATTGTAAATGCGCCCCTCTGGCATCAGCGACAGCAACATTGCCTCGTCATCGTTAAATTTATTAAAATAAAGCATAGCACATTATTGGCTGTATTGGTAAATATAGAGGCTGTAAATCATCAATATGGCCTTTAGCGGCGGCAGTGCAAACGGTGTCAGCAGCAGCAGCAGGAGCAGTGCTAGTGGCTGTGGCAGCATATCAGTGTGGGATAAGTGTACAACAGTGATGCTGTTACCGCGCGCACGGCTCATCACCCTCTGGCTGGCATTCAATTTAGCGCTGATCGTGCAAGAGCCAATGAAGAAAATCGCCTCAGTCGATGCAGCGTAAGTATATTTATTAAAATGTATACATACTTTACTATCTACAAGTATGTGCTTACATATTTAATGAGTTTATACAGCTGAATGGGCGAATATTCAATAACAGTTAAGAATTGAAATATTTAATTGATTTCTGTTGAAATCATTTTCTTCGCAAACTATACTCGGTGCAAATTCGCAGGAAAATTTAATTCCGTGGAAGTCCCAAATTATTTTATTCACGTTCTTAGCACGCTTATTTTAACTTATGTTCAGTGTTATGCAAACACATTAGGGAAAACATTTGAATTAGATAGCATTTTTGTGAAATATTCTTACTTCAAATATTTCCAGAGGTCAGTCAATAAATTTCATGAATTTTTAACGGCCTTTTCCAAAGAAATTGTCATTTCAAGTTTATATTGTGAATGAAAAAAATCAGAATTTCACAAGGAAAAAAGTAACATACACGTATATAGCGTATGAGTAACATTTTTTCCTGCTCATATTTCATAAAAAAAAATATCTTGCATTTTCATTTGACCATTCTAAACCTTTTTATTTATTTATCCAACGATTTTCTACTTTAGTGGGCTTGTTTTTTTTTTGTAGAATCAAAGTCTTTGATAGAAATGAAAAAAAAAAGAAAAAATCTGTAATTTTTTCCCTTCCAAAATTTGTTTTTTTCCCATAAAAATGAAAACATCTTGCGAAAATAACTTGATCTAGAAAAACGGAATATATATTAGAAATTTACGGCTTGCAGCGTTTTTCGTCATTACAAAACCCAAAGATTTTTCTTACA